AGTTCTAGCCGACCTGTGACAATGAAACTGTCACACGTCGGCTCTATAGATCGGGAAGTGAGCGAACACATACCGTCGCTCGCTCACCTCTCAATCATGTCCCTGCAGAGAGTGGTGACTGTCACTCACGGCTCCCTGCAGGGAGTCCACCCCTCCCCTGTCTGATCCTCCAGCGCTGACTGGCGGAGGGGGCGGGTACAGCTGGCTCTGCCTCTAGATAGGCAGAGCCAGCTGTCAATCACGAAGCTGGGTGGATCTCGAAAGTAATGTCAGGATCCGTCCCGGCTGCGGCGTCTCAGTATACCGCGAGCTGTAGCTCCCTATATACTGAGCTTAGGGTGACGGGAGGACGCTAGTTTGTGTCCTCCCGTTACCCTGAGGAGAACTATGGGGAAAAACACTAGTTCTCCTTTAAGAAATGTTTGCTTGAATTGATTGATTAGTAAAGATTGTTTGTTCTTCCAGACAGGAAATGTTTGCATTGAATCCGTAGACATTGATGCGTGTAATGCTGTTGGTTAGGAATGACTTGCTATTCTTCATAGGGTGGCTCTCAGGGCGAGGAATCTGTCGGCGGCTCCCAGAGATCCTCCACGGTGTACGCGCGAGAAGCGTTGATCGAAATAGACTACAGCGAGCTCTCCGAGGACCTGAAGGTAGGTGGCGATTGCAGCCTCGGGGGTGGCGATATGCGCTAGCTCCTTGGTGCACCAGCGTTGACCGTCCTTCTCATGATTGGTGGCAGGACGCGGTAGCGGACGACGACATCAAGCAGGAGATGAGCTCGTTGCATCAGAAGCTGAACGAGCAGCAAAGCGTCTTGCAGCGGATTTCCGCCCCCAACATGAAGGCCATGGAGAAACTGGAGAGCGTCAGAGACAAATTCCAGGAGACGTCAGACGGTGAGTGACACTATGGGGAGGGACTGTAACACACCAGGCCCCCCCCCGCTGACCTAATCACGTGTGGATCTCAGCTTCAGATATGGTCACGGGAAGTTAGCGTAACAAATAGCAACAGGGTTAGGGGTCAGCGATCCTGAATCACAGTCAGTCCAAAGTCCTCTCCTTTTTATCACCCCACGGTGAGATGCTAGGAGCTACAGTCTGAGATATGGCACACAATCTTACTTTAGGCGTGTAACGTCACTGGCATTGGCTATAGTACTTGCCGTTGTGGAGATAGTGGTCCAGCAGTGCCACCCAGTGGACCTCAATGGTATGGCAGGCTGTGTTGTTAGTGAGGGCTGAGGGTACTGCAGGGTTCAGTAAGAGGCTTCCGTAGCTGGAGGATGAGAGGCAGCTGGCGGCCGCTGAGGATGGGGCTCTGTCCGGCCCAACAGTGAGGGAGGTTCGGTGGTGAGCCGCGGAGGAACTTACCTGGCGTTAACGCACTTGCCCGATCGCCAGGCAAGTGAATCCGTTGGCTTAAGCAGACTAAGGGGGAGCTGACGTCGACTCCGGTGACATCGTTGGGTCCCCGACGGAACTCTGGGACGGGTGAGTCCGTTACAGGGACTGGTGCTCAATAATTATCACTCAAAATTTGGTAGTATTGATGTCATGCCAAGCCCCTTTTTTTTTAGGTGTGTAGGAGAGCTTTGGCGCACACAAGCCGCACTGTCGTCTGTCTGCCCGCCCCCCACTCCTCTAGTCCATTTGCAGGATGCTTTCTATTCTTTGAACCCATTCGCAGCGTACAAAGCGTTTTGTGAATGGACATAGGGACAGAGAGGGGCGCATAGTATGGCTCCAGCTCTCTCGGCATGGCTTCCCTGAACATCCTATCAAGTAAAAGATCACAAAAGACAGCAGAGTCTCCAGGAGCCTTCCATCTACTAGCTTGGAGGAATGAGGAGAGGGGAGAAGGGTCTTATCCTGCTGTGCCTGTGTGTGTGGATACACAAGCCGCTTACTATCACACACAAGTGTGGCTCCATAGGACCCTGCAAGGGAACGGAGCCACCCCAAAACAGGATATCGGGGCCCAGTGCTAAGTGATACTGCAGGAAACTAAAATGTTTAACCCCTTCGTGACTGACGACGTACAGTGTACGTCGCCAGCATCGGGGCTGTTTAAACAGACTCCCGGCGACTTTTAAAAATAAAAAAAAATGAGGAAAAAAACTAGAAGAAAACAATTTTTTTTCTCAAGTTTTGATTATTATAATTTTTTTATATTAATTATAGTATTAAAAAAAATATATTTATATCTAATTTTTGTTTTACACTTTATTTAATTTTTTTTTCTTGTCAGTTTATATCAAGCAATCACTATGACTGCTTGATAAATTAACTTTTTTTTTTTTTAATTTTTTGGCTATTGGATAGCTAATAATAACTGATCCTGACTTTAGTCAGATTCAGATCTCACTTAGGTCTCGTTCACACCTAGGCGTATTGCATATGCGCGTCTGTCGCGCGTTTCGGAAGGCTACTTGGGCTGTATCCCAATGGAAACGCACCAACAAAACGGCCCAAAGTAGTACCTGTACCTTTTCAGGCGCGGGCCGTTTTGTAGCGCGTTAGGGACGGGTAGAAATACGCCAAGGTGGGAACGAGACCCATTGACTGCAATGGGATTTATATTTTTGAGCGTTTTGTAGAGCGTTCGTCGAGCGTAGAACGCGCTACAAAACGTTCAGGTGTGAACGAGGGCTCAAAGCTCTTTGATCGGCCGAGACTATCAGAACTGATACATTTCACTCAAAAGATATACATTGTATCTTTTTAGTGAAATGTATCTAAACATCGGGCTCTGGAGCTGTCAAAACAAATAGCAGGGAGGTGAGTCACTGCTACCTCTCTGCTATTTTCAGCTGTCAAATACAGGATCGCAAATCGCAGTCCCGTATTGGCATGTAACGGCTTCATTCTTTCATTAATCAAAGGAAGAAGGTTTTACAAAAAGCTTAATTATTTCATGAATGGCTCAATACTGGAGGCATTCATTAATGACTGGTAACTGCTGAGAATCAGCTGTTACCGGCATTACAATGCCTGATATAACTCGTCACGTACAGTGTACGTTGCCAGTCATATAGGCACAAAGTGCCGGGACGTACACTGTACGTCTCCCATCACGAAGGGGTTAAGCTATTTCAAATGCTGATGAAATCACTTACAATTCGGGATGCACTGATATTGCTTTCTCGGCATCGAGTACCGATATTCTTTTTTCTGTACTCGCCGATACCGGAAGTCCCATTTAACCCTTTTGCTGCCAAGGACGTATGGCATACGGACCTACAAAAGTGCTTCCAGCTGGCCAGGTCAGTATGCCATACGGACCTGGCATTTACAGTTCTACTATAAGCTGATGGTCGCTTTAGCGACCATCAGCTTATAGTATAACTGTTCAGCAGACTGTCCCCTTTAAATTAATAGCTGTCATCAGC